GGCCAGACCGGGGCCTCGATACTGGAGGTCCCGGGGCCGGAGAGTGCTGCCCGGGCGGACGCCCTCGCGCGGCGCCTGGAGGTGCTGTTCAGCGGGACCGACGTGCGCGTCAGCAGGCCCGTCAGGACCGCCGAGGTGCGGTTGACGGGCCTTGACGAGTCGGTCACCGCAGAGGCCGTATCGGGGGCGGTGGCTGCGGCCGGTGGGTGCACCGCTGCCGAGGTTCGGGTCGGCGTCGTTAGACGCAATCGATCCGGCCTCGGCGGGGTGTGGGTAAGGGTCACCCTGGACGCGACAAGGAGGCTGACGACCGCCGGACGAGTTCTGGTCGGCTGGTCGTCGGCCAGAGTGGAGGTGCTGGCGGCCCGGCCACTGCGGTGCTTCCGCTGTTTGGAGGAGGGGCACGTCCGCCAAAAATGTCCGGGTGACGCGGACAGGGGCGGGCGGTGCTACTCCTGCGGAGGCACCGGCCATGTGGCCCGGGATTGCGCCGAGGCCCCCAGGTGCCCGGTCTGCGCCGACCTAGGTCGGCCGGCCGGGCATCGTCTGGGCGGCAAGGGCTGCGAACCTCCACCGTCGCGGCGGCGCGGGACTGCGGCGGCGCCGAGCGCGGCTGCAGCCTCGCAGCCGCGGGGAGATCGACCGGTGCAGGCGCCGGTCGATGAGGAGGGAGGATCCGGCCGGGAGGAGGCCATGGACACGGCCTAGTGTTCATGCCCCCGACTCGGGTCCTCCAGGCCAACCTCAACCACTCGGCCCGGGCTCAGGACTTGTTCCTACATAGCCTGGCCGAGCTTGGTGTGGGGTTGGCGGTCGCCGCGGAGCCGTACCGCGTCCCGGACCGCCCGGACTGGGTGGGGGACGCGCTCGGCTCCGTGGCGGTGGTGAGCCACGGAGACGTGCCCCTCAGCGCCATTGCGCGGGGGCGCGGCTTCGTCGCGGCCCGCTATGGGCGCCAGGCGGTGGTCGGGGTTTACGCTCCGCCGAGCATGCCTCTCGCGTCGTTCGAGACGCTGCTGGACCGGATACGGGACGTCATGTCCCGTGGTCCAGCGCGTCCGACGTTGGTCCTGGGTGACTTCAATGCGAAGTCCACCCTGTGGGGAAGCCCCGGGACCGACGCGCGGGGGGATGTCGTGCGGGAGTGGGCGGCAGGATTGGACCTCCGGTTGCTCAACCGGGGGTCCGCGAGCACGTGCGTGCGGTGGCAGGGCGAGTCCATTGTGGACTTGTCGTGGGCAACGCCCGCCGCCGCGCGTCTCGTGACGGGGTGGCGGGTGGCGGAGGAGGTGGAATCGCTAAGCGACCACCTCCACATCCTGATGGATGTATCCGCCGCCCAGCAGAACCGCCCCCCTGTTGCCAGCCGACCGCCGCGTAGGTGGGCGCTCGGACG